TGAAATCTGAAGTATAGCTAAACTTAAATGAATTTATTTTTCTGAAAACAAAATATATTTCCACACGAACAGACCTACTAATCAGAAAAGTGTACTAAAACTTTGCTCATTCTGGTAATTCGTTAGCCTGACATCTGGTTAACATAAGGCAACACAGTTTTATCATAGAAAAGGAAGGTAAACATAACAAGTATGTTAAAAGCCAACTTTTTTTTTTAAGATTTTATTTATTTATTTGACAGATAGCAATCATACATAGGCAGAGAGGCAGGCAGAGAGAGAGGGGGGAAGCAGGCTCCCTGCTGAGCAGAGAGCCCAATGTGGGGCTTGATCCCAGAACCCTGGGATCACGACCTGAGCCAAAGGCAGAGGCTTTAACCCACTGAGCCACCCAAGCGCCCCAAAAGCCAACTTCTTTGAGAAAGTTTTCTATGTTGTCATCCTGTAACATATTCCACTTATCTTTTAAACTACTAAGTTCTTTGTTAACAAAATGTTTTATGATTATTTAGCTATGTCTAGCCTTTAGTACACCAAAACTGGCACCACAGTAGATAGAGCCTGTAGCATTTCTTGAAATGAAAAGGAAAAAAAGCTGATTGCTTTCATAAAGGAAAAGAACTATTTGACTTCTTGAAATATTTGCCCAGTATATTTGAAATCACCTATCAAAATTCATATTACATAACATTAGCAATATTTTACTTTAGTTAAGACTGACTACCTGTGGGCGAAAGAAGTTCAGCTATTCTTACAGAACTACTTTTCAAGTTTGATTGTAGCTGGTTTTGTTTTTGGGCAGACCTCAGTGGGAAATAAAAATCAGAGTCTGATTTAGAAATGACTAGGACAACGAAGTCTCAGCATACCAAATATTAAATTCCAGACAATGGCAACTATAGTCGTATGTGTGGTAACATGATATCAATGTGCCACCTAGATTTTTCCTCCCATCTATTTGAAAAACCACAAACATGGTTTTTCCATGAAGTAGTTTTTAAATTGGGATCCTTTAAAATTGTTGTGCCTCTCACCTTTCCAACAGTCTTATTTTCATAGTTAAAGCAAGCACCCATAATGGTTAATGACTTATAAACAGACTGCTTAGGTCCCTGCACATTACTTATCACTGTTACTAAGTACCTACAATTTAACCATATAACAAAGATATGCAATCTGCTAAGTATGATTCATAATTGTGTATTATATCTTTAAGAATTTAAAAATGTATTATAAGCAGAAATGTGTTCCAGATTCTTTATCATTCCGAAGTTATTAAAATGGTTGCATGTGCCCGCTTCAGCCAAGGTTTTAAGCAGCTACTGATGAGAAAATTGGTGAGCTGCATTTATTCAAAATAAAAAAGCTTACTAACATCGACTCCCCATTTCAAGAACTGGTAAGATACCATCCAGAATCAAATGAAAAAATATTTATATCAACATGTACAAACCATTTTGAGTACCCAAGTTTACGGGTTCAGCAGGCAAATGGCAAAACATAAAGCAAAGGACCTGTAATTCTATAGAGCACTTTAAATGTTTTTCTTATAAAATCACCAAAATAATTTAAGAACAACAACAAAAAAAAATCCCAGGTATTCAACACAAAAGGTAAACTTTTGTGTTGAAAGAATAGAGGAAGGTAAAGTGAAACTGACTCCCTAGGGAAGATGACAACTTATTTTACTATTAATTCTCAAGTTCTCATTCACAACTAGCATTTTATTATTTTTATCTTTCAGACAGATTGCAACCTGAAACTGAAGCACCTTTCCAAACACTAAGTTATCTGTTCTTGGTTTCCACTGTATGCCTTTGTGTTCTCAGTTAAACTTCTGGATCTAATGGCTTAAAAAAATAATAATAAAAGGCTAACAAAAAGACAGCCTTTTGTTTGAAAGGGCACAACAATCAGGAGCTACAGATTTAAAGTTCGTTTTCACTTGCCTCACCACTGCAATAACTGTCCTCAACTTAAGAGCACTCTTGACTCCCTTTCAAATATTACAGGCCAGAAGTCCACGAAAATACAAATCTAAGTCTCCTGAAGACTACCAGTCACTCTACTTTTGGAAGGAATTTACAAAGAAACGTGTGCCTTCTGTTACTAAACTCAAACATGAACCACCATTAACTTTTTTTTTCCTGGTAAGCAATAAGTATCAACGTTAAGAGCGTATTTCGACAAATAATGCAAACCAACCTCAGAGCACAAAGTTAGCTGATAAAATTACCATCATAGCACAATTTCAAAACTATAAGCAACCACACACACACACACACACAAAAAAGAAGAAGCAGAAGAAGAAGAAGGGAAAAAAAAACAAAACAAAACCGCACCCACTCTTACGTAAACTTTCGGAGTAAGCAAACTTCTTTAGCCTCACCTTTGTTTTTACCTAAAAGAACTCTTCAAGACAAGACAGCAATTCCAAGAAGACCAAAATATCCAAAGGATTCAGCTGTTCTCCTCCTGGGAGAAACCACCAAAAATTTAAGACATGGTAACGTATTTAAGTTACCGAAGCTTAGGGCACTTCCCCAAGCTACAGCCATTTTAGATTCAGCCTTTCTTCTGAATTTCACGGGGGTGGAGAGAGGTAGATTTAAAACAGAAAAAAATCCTCCTTAAAACTCTCCAAGATCGACTAGCTTTTTTGGGGGGGAGGGAGGCAATCCGTAGGTGCTGAATACCTACTTAATCTAAATCAAAGAAAACACCTCGATATCAAGAACCGAAACGGTGGTGGTTAAAGCTCTTCTTTTCCCCTCAGATGCCCCACGGCTGACTTACACGATTTTTCCCTCCTTCAATTTTCCTTCGTTGGAAAACAAAAGCCCTTGGCTCTAAAGAAAGAAAAATAAACCCGTAAACCAAGCCACTCAACCATCGACAAGCCGGAACGCCTGGAGAGGAGCCAGGGAGCCGCAGGTGAGCGTTCCGACCGGAAGACCAAAGTTGAAATAGGAGCGCTCGGGCAAAGCCGCGGCGACACTCGACTGCAAAGCTCCTCGTGCGGGGGGAGGTGCCCCATCCGAACCACAGGACCGCTGGCCCCTCGGCTTCTCTCCCCCCACCCCGACCTACACCAACCACCTGTGTGAGAGCCTCCTTCAACTAGTTCCAACAGCCGGTTGTTTGGGCACCGGGCGGAGCCCCGGGCCGGAACGACTCCAGATCCTCTGCCGCCCAGTTGTCCGGAACCCCCACTTACCCGGCAGCCGTGGGGCTACAGCTAGGGGCCAGAAGCAGCGTCTGAGGGCGCGTCCCCAGCTTCCTGATCCCGCAGAGGTGGAGAGCCCACAACCATAACAAAGCTCTTCCCAAAATGGCTGCCCGGCCCACACGGCCCTGGAGGGGCAGGGGGGAGGAGCGACGACCAGGCCGGCCCTCCCCCACCCCGACCCCGCCTCACACACGCCCACCCGCTCGCACAGCCCACAGGAGCGCAAGCGCAGGAGCCCTGTTCCGGTGACCCTGCGGGCGCCCCACGTCTCCAACGTTCCGCCGCGTGAACGGCAGTTATTCCCTACGCCGTTCCCCACCCCCCCTTACCGCGGCTCCAGACTGTGCATGGCTACCCCCACCCCTCTGCAGACTTGAATGCTCTGCCTTTCCTCGTGGCTTCTCAGAGAGGGCGACCAGCCGAGTTTGGAACCCCTCTTATTTCCCGGCCCAACACAGGGCCTGGATGCCTGTGAATGAGTGGGTGGGTGTGTGTGTACCGTTTTCCCCGCCCCTTCACCCTCCGGTACCCCACTTCTGGGCATGCTCGCGTCCCCAGACTACCCGTGCAAGTACTAGCAAACCGGTTTCGCAGGATCGTGATTTCCGACCCTTCCCACCTTCCGCTCCTTCCTTCACGTGCGCGCCTCGTTAGGACTCCAGCCCCCAGCGGACCACACCGCCGTGCTCCCGAGGCCTGCGCCGCTGGGTCCGTCGCGCTACCCTCTGGGAGTGGTAGTTCCGCCCCACGGCTGGCGTCACGCCCCTGGCCCAGCGCAGGGCGGATTTCTGTCTGGAGCCGGCTCCCAAGCTGGGGCGGAGAAGTTGTTTCTCTGACCCAAAGTCTTATTGGATATCGCACTACTAGAAGGGGCGGTGCTGCCATGATAGAGAAGGAAACAAAAGTGAAAGCCTATCGCGGTCAGAAGCGGTTACTATTACGAAGAAATAGTAGTGGGCGCCTTCTGCACGGGACGTTAAGCCGTATGATGGCCGACAACCACGAAGCTCCATTACCCAGGATCCGGAGGAATTGAGCAACTGGCCAGCGTGGGCCGTTGCAGCTCTGTTTTCAGAAGGCCGCTCAAATTGTCTGGTGCTGTGTCCTTTGACAGAGTATGAAATGGAGGCCCAGGGAAGAAAAGAGAGTTGTCCAAGGTCACAGAGCCAACAAATAAAAGTTAAAGCAGAGGGCGACAGAAGGAACGATCTAACTTTTCAGATCAACCCTAAACCCAAAACTGTTATAACCACTCCTACGGAAGCGAGAATCCTGCCCTTTGTGCTTTTTATTTTTTTAAGATTTTATTTATTTATTCGACAGACAGAGATCACAAGCAGGCAGAGAGAGAGGAGGAAACAGGCTCCCTGCTGAGCACAGAGCCAGATGTGGGGCTGATCCCAGGATCCTGGGATCAAGACCTGAGCTGAAGGCAGAGGCTTTAATCCACTGAGCCACCCAAGCGCCCCGTGTTTTTTATTTCTTAATGGAGTCTCCAGGTCCAAGCAAAGAGAATGGAAGTAAAAAGTTTTGTTTTTCTTAGTGTTAGTAGTTCAGGACCCAAACACAGAGGTGCCCCATCCATCCTAGAAAACCCTGTTGTGAGTTCCAGAAATGGCGAACAATTTGGCCAAGTTGTACTTGGCCTAGACTCCAAATCTTTCCTACCTTCCTACAACACCATCACTTTAGGATTGTTTTAGTAGTTGTGCTCTACCTGTCCGAACTCGAGGGTCAGATTCTGATGCCTGAGAAACCTGGAGAGGGGAGGTAAGGACCATTCAAGTACCCTACGGACTTCAAAAGCTGGCTTCCAGAATTAAGATTTCTTTAAAAGAATGACCCAAGATGAACACCCGGCATGGGAACCAGTCAGCACTGGTCAAGTCCCCACCCGGACTCTTTTTTTCTGTTCCCAGGAAGTGGAGGGGACTGCCAAACCCCATCTACCGGAAGTGCCTTTTCGTGAGTGTCTGGAGTTCTTGCTGCTCTGCGTTCCAATTCCCGGTTCGACACTGGCAAGTATACTTACATATTTAACAGCAGGGCTGCTGCCACACTGTGCAAATTGGGGGGAGGGGCGTTGGGGGAGGCACCGAGGGTTGAGAGTAAATCAAAGCCGCTGGGAATGTCAGGCAGTTTCCCGAGGATCCTTGGGTTCTCACAGCGCGCCCTTTTCTCAGGAGTCCGCTCTGAGGCTTGCAGTTTGCAACTCTTTCCTCTGGGACGGTGGCAGTATCGGGCGTTTTCACCTAAATTGAGTGGATTGACCCTTAGGTCTTTGCCTTCCTCACCAGTTGCTGTCCCCGGGATATAGGCCATCGGTCTCCATATAACACCCATGAGTTGGAAAGCGCATGGTCACAGTGCAGAGAGAGTTCCAACTGTGAAGAGAGCGTTGAGATTTTTAAGTGGGGTGGTCTGGAAAGCCCTTATGCTTTTGACCAACAGTGAGTGTGTGGGTCCTGCAGATATGTGTGTTTGGAAGTCAGGAAGTGGATGTCAGGTGCCATCTAAGATGTACTCAGAGGCCCTGGCTAACTTACCTCCCTACGTCTTTGTTAAAGAGTGAAAACATTGACTGGTATACAGGATTTCTCTACCCATCCCTAAGAGCTGTGACCTAGAAATAGTTCATTAAAATATTTAACTAGGTAGCAACTGTGGTTTTTGGGTCTTTTAGACAGTTCATTCTCTTGGTTAACAATGAAACTCATGTAAGACAGATCTAGATTCATATTCTCAACCACTTACTGGCTGCTCATTTAGAGTTCTTAACCATTTCCTCTTGTGTAGGGTGGGAATATAACTTTTATTTTTTGAATGCTTACTTTATGTCAGGGACCGTTTGCAGCTCTTTACATAGATCAATTCTTATTTCTAAAGTGAGTGAACTGCAACATGACAAAGTTAAATATGTTTGCAAAATCACATGCCATATAAGTGGTGAAGCCAGGATCCCAACACAAATTGTTGATTCCAGAATCTTAACTCTAACCTAACAGGCTATACTGTCTCTCAGAATCAAGGTGATGAGGTTATTGTTTTCAATGAGTTAAGGCAGGGGTGCCTGGCTGGCTCAGTGGGAGCATGTGGGTGTAGAGATAACTTAAAAATACTTTTTTAAAAGAAGATTTTATTTGACAGAGGGAGATCACAAGTACACAGAGAGGCAGGCAGAGAGCAGTGGGGGGGGGGGGCAGGCTCCCTGCTGAGCAGAGAGCCCATTGCAGGACTTGATCTCAGGACCCTGAGATCATGACCTGAGCTGAAGGCAGAAGCTTAACCCACTGAGCCACCCAGGCACCCTTAAAAATACTTCCTTAAAAATAAATAAATAAATAAATAAATAAGTTAATGCATATAAAACACATAATTACATTTCTTGGTTCACAGCTAAATTGTATTAATTGCTACCATCATTATTTTGAGCTGTAAACACCTAGGGTGAAAAAAGAGAACAGAGAAGCTATAACCTTCGGTTTTAAAGATAAGAAAACTACACTTCAAAGAAGCAATTTACCCAAGGTCACACAGCTGGGGAATTATAGAAGTGTTTGTAAAATATAGATCTGTCTCTGTGCAATACCTTTTCTGTTACACCAAATAGCAAAAGCTAAAAGAATGGATCAGAGAAGAAAAGGATTATTTACTTAATGTATTACTGATTTCTGGACAGCATTAATGATTGTTTTCAAAGGCAAATGTGTTATATGGAAAAAATTCTCGGGTTCCTACTTGTACAAAATTATGCATAAAATGAAGAAAATTTAGTAACATTTTGTTTTCTATACAGCAACATGCTTCTGATTCAGCTCCTCCACTTAGCTGTAAAAATGCATTAATCACAACTGCCTGGTATCTTCCTGAGCAAGATTTTACAGTGGGACCCAGTATGCTTCATTTTATCCAGAAGTTTTCTCAAGCATCTTCAAAGGTTGGCTTATTCAGCAAATACTTGCGGGCACTGCTTTGCTGGGGCAATAGCAATGGGAAAAAAAAGACACATCCTTATCCTTATATGTTTAGGTGATGGGGTAAAGGGTGGATAAAATACAAATAAGTAAAATATTTTATATTACAAGTGGTAAGTCTTCTGGAGAACTATAAAGCAGGGAAGGGGAATAGGGAATATCAACAATAGGCTTAGGATTGCACTTAAAAATAGAGGGGTCATGGGGGCCTGGGCTCAGTCAGTCAAGCAGGTACCTTTGGCTGGGGCCCTGATCTCAGGATCCTGGGATCCAGCCTAATGTGGGGCTCCGTGCTGAGAAGGAAGTCTGGTTTTTCCTCTCTCTGTGTCCCTCTCCCACTGCTCATGCTCTCTCTCTTGCTGTCTCTCAAATAACTAATATCTTAAAATAGAGGGGCCAGGGATGCTGACTTGTGATCTCAGGGTAGTAAGTTCAAGCACCATGTTGGGTGTAGAGATCACTTAAAAATAAAAAAATCTTAAAAAAAAATAGGGGTGCTTGGTAGCTTAGTCGTTTAAGCATCTGACTCTTGATTTTGGCTCAGGTCATGATCTCAAGGTCCTGGAATTGAGCCCCGCATTGGACTCCATACTCGGGGGGAGTCTGCTTAAAGATTCTCTCCCTTTGCCCCTCCCCAAACTCATGTTGTCTTACCCTCCCTGCAATAAACAAATCTATTTTTTTAAAAAAGAGAGAGAGAGGTAAGAAGAGAGGGAATCAGCCATGCAAGTAGCTCAGGGAAGAACTTTTCAAAGAAAAGGAAAAGGCCCCAGGATGGAATCATTTCCTAGCATTTTAAGGAGTCACCAAGATTCTTAAATAACTTTATTTCTTCTTTCATCCAGTGCTTTTTGAGTTATTGTTCATCTGTTAACTAGTTGAAGTCTGGAATCTGCTCACTAAAGCACAGAATCAGCAGTAAAGTTTACTCCTTTGGGCATATACCATGAAAGGCACTGGGGAAGTTTGTTTTGTTTTGTTTTAAAGATTTTATTTATTTGACAGAGATCAAGAGAGGGAGCACAAGTAGGGGGAGTGGGAGGAGAAGCAGGCTGAATCCCAGGATTCAGATCATGACCTGAGCCCAAGGTAGACGCTTAAGGATGGAGCCACCCAGGGGTGCCCCTGGTTTTGTTTTGTTTTTTTTTTTTTAAGGAAAGAAAAAATTACTGGCCTGGTTCTCAAGTATATTGAGACAGACAAACACATGTTGTTGTTGTTGTTTTTAAGATTTTATTTGTTTGAGAGAGAGTGAGAATACAAGCAGGAAGAGTAGGAGAGGGAGAAGCAGGCCCCCGGCAATGTGCAGCTCAATCCCAGGACCCTGGATCATGACCTGAGCCAAAGGCAGACACTTAACCCATAGAGCCACCAGGTGCCCTGATAAACATATGATTTAAATTCACTGTGAAAATTATGATGGGAGTGTGCGTAAAGTATTTATAGGAGTATTAATTCAGATTGGGGAAAGCTTCATGCTGAATTTTAAAAGATAGATTCCCTAGACAAAAAAGTAGTTGTTAGGGGGCACTTGGGTGGCCAGTTGCTTAAGTGTCTGACTCATGATTTCAGCTCAGGTGTTGTGGGATCAGGCTCCACAGTGGGCTTGGAGCCTGCTTGAGATTCTCTCCCCTTCTCCCTTTGCCCCTCCCCATTCCCCATCCCCCCAAAAAAAAGAAAAAGAAAAAAATGTACTATGTTAGAATTCTAGGCAAAGACATATAGGAAGGCAATTAACAAGTCAGGAAATGACAGATGCTGGCAAGGATGCAGAGAAAGGGGAACCCTCCTACACTGTTGGTGGAAATGCAAGCTGGTGCAACCACTCTGGAAAACAGCATGGAGGTTCCTCAAAAAGTTGAAAATAGAGCTACCTTACAACCCAGCAATTGCACTACTGGGTATTTACCCTAAAGATACAAACGTAGTAATCTGAAGGGGCATATGCACCCCAATGTTTATAGCAGCAATGTCCACAATAGCCAAACTATGGAAAGAACCTAGATGTCCATCAACAGATGAATGGATAAAGAAGATGTGGTATATATATATATACATACACACACACAATGGAATACTATGCAGCCATCAAAAGAAATGAAATCTTGCCATTTGCGATGATGTGGATGGAACTAGAGGGTATTATGCTTAGCGAAATAAGTCAGTCGGAGAAAGACAACTCTCATATGATCTCCCTGATATGAGGAAGTGGAGATGCAATGTAGGGGGTTTGGGGGGTAGGAAAAGAATAAATGAAACAAGATGGGATCGAGAGGGAGACAAACCATAAGAGACTCTTAATATCACAAAACAAACTGAGGGGGGCCAGGGGGAGGGGTGTAGGGAGAGGGTAGTGGGGTTATGGACATTGGGGAGTGTATGTGCTATGGTGAGTGCTGTGAAGTGTGTAAACCTAGCGATTCACAGACCTGTACCCCTGGGGCTAATAATACATTATATGTTTATAAAAAAATTAAAAAAAAAAAGACATATAGGAAGGCATGGAGTTATGGAAAGTATTCAGTGTTTCTTTCTTTCTTTTTTTTTTTTTTTAAAGATTTTATTTATTTATTTGACAGACAGAGATCACAAGTAGGCAGAGAGGCAGGCAGAGAGAGGAGGAAGCAGGCTCCCTGCTGAGCAGAGAACCCAATGCCGGGCTCCATCCCAGGACCCTGGGATCATGACCTGAGCCGAAGGCAGAGGCTTTAACCTACTGGG